GTTCCAGTAGGCCATGCCTGTGCTGCTTGGTGGTGTGATGTCAAGCATACGGTGCAGGTAGGCAGGATGCAGCACGGAGATTGTTATGTGTGGAGCTAAGATGGATATGGGAGAGAGGAGAGAGGAACAGGAGGCAAAAACATACAAACAAACAAAAAAGAATGCTAGGGGAGCTTGCTGTTTGAGTGGAGAGATGAGAAACTATGAAATGGAGAAAAACAGAAAGGGGAAGAGGAAGAAAAGAAAAGAACGAATAAATAAAAACCCAAAAGGTAAAAGAACTGCAAAGTTCCCAGGGATCCCACCAGTGCAGCTATGAGGTCTGGGGAAGTTGCTCTCAGGTGTTGCAGTACAGCCTGGCTAGAAGGCATAGAGGTATATGACACCAGGTATTCAGGGAACAGAAGGAGAAGGAAGATATAGAGAGACAAGAAACTGATCAATGAAGAAAGACAAAAAGGGAAAAAGAGGGAAAGAAAACAAAACAAATTTAAAAAAAATAGAACAATAATGGCCCCGAAAATACAGAAAAGAAAAAAAAAACACACACACACACAAAAAAAGAAATGCCCTCAGGGATCCCTCTGCACGTCTGTGCAAGCCGAGGGGGAGTCTCCTTGCCACCCAGCTCCGCCTGGCCAGACAGGGCTCCCAACTCAAGGAAAGGAAAAGAAAACAAAGAAACAATTCAAAACAAACAAATGAATGAAAACCCCGCGATCCCACCAGTGCAGCAGCCCAGACCGGGAAGCAGCTCCACACTTGAATGGACCTCTGCAGCCCCTCAGGAAGAAGCAAAGATGGCGCACGGAGCCAGGTACTCCAGCGAAAGGAGGGGGAGGTGGCGAGAGGCAAGTAAGGAATTAAAAGAAGCAGAAAAAAAAAAAAGCAGCACTAGCAGCCAACAAATGAGCCAGCTAGTGTGGGCTGGTGTTTCTGGACAAGAGACTGTGTCCACGGGAAGCAGAGGGGACCGAGTGTGGGTGAAGAAGTGTAGGGAGTGGGAAAGCATATATCACAAATTACCGGTGCTCTGCAGCCCCTCAGGAAGAAGCAAAGATGGCGCATGGAGCCAGGTACTCGAGCGAAAGTAGGGGAGGTAGCAAGAGTCAAGGAAGAAATCAAAAGAAGCGGACAAAAGCAACACCAGCAGCCATCAAGTGGCACTCAGACAGCCGCCCATTTGGGTGTGTGGAAACCAAGCAGCCGGTGTTTCCCAGTCAAGAGATTGTGGCCACGGGAAGCAGAGGAGGCCGAGTCGGGGTGAAGAAGGGTGGGCAGTGGGAAAGCGTATATTGCAAATTACCAGTTGTTTTGTCTCCCGCTGGACGCTCCGTGAGGTTGCTTTCTCGTACCCCCTGTTTGCTGTTCTCCGATAGGAGTCCAAGATAGCGGATCCACGCTGTGTTAGCTGGTAGGAGACCTCTGCATGAATCTCTCCTCGCTCTCCATTCTCTGTCAGTTTTCTCACTCCATTTGGTGTTTGGCTGAGTTCTTTATCTCTTCATTTGATGTTTTAAGGTTTCAGGATTGTTGTATTCTCTGTTCAGCTTAGTTTTTTGGACCTTTGCTGTGGAGGGACGGAGTGGTGCTTCTGCCTAGAGCGCCATTTTGCCCCTTACCTCTGGATACATCTTAAATTTGCCCTCATATTTGAGTGAGAGTTTTGCAGTATATATTATTCTGGTTTGGCAATTTTTTTTCTTTCAAGGTTTTATATATATCATCCCATTGCCTTCTTGCCTGCATGGTTTCTGCTGAGTAATCGGAGCTTAGTCTTATTGTTTTCCCTTTCCATGTGACTTTTCGTTTTTCTCAAGCTGCTCTCAGGATTCTTTCTTTGTCTTTGGTTTTGGGGAGTGTGGTTATGATATGTTTTGGTGACTTTCTTTTGAAGTTATCCTATATGTGGTTGGTTGAGCTTCTTGGATGGTTGGGTTTTCATCTTTCATGATATTAGGGAAGTTTTCTGTCAGTAAATATTCAATGATTCTCTCTGTGTTTTCCATTTTCTCCCCCTGTTCTGGAATTTCCATCATGAGTAGATTTCTGTTTCGATTGTATCTCATGTAGTCTTAGGTTTTCTTCATTCTTTTCTCTGATTTTTTCCTCAAAGTGGCATCCATGGATTTGTCTTCAGTTTCCCTGATTTTGTCTTCCACTGTTTCAAATTTTCTCCTAAAACTTTCTATTGTGTTGTCCATTTCTGAAATTTTTTTAAATCTTTTTGATCTCTAATCACTGTTTTTGTATGATTTCTAATTGTGTATTTTGACTTTTTGTTCTTGTGTGATTTTCCTGAATTCTTTTATTGTTTTTGTCTGTGTTTTCCTTGAATTTGTCTGTATTTTCCTTGATCTCTTTCCTAATCTCTTGAAGAGCCCTGAGTGTTAGAATTTTGAATTCCCTATCATGTATTTCCATTGCCTTTTCTTCCTACTGGAAAGTCAACTGATGGCTTTATTCTGATGCTTACAGGAGCCATCTTGTCCTGTTTTTTTAAATATGTCTTGATATTGTCTGCTGTCTCTGAGACATTCGGATATTATTTTCTATATTTATTTATTGTAGGTTTGTTTGTTTCATCTTGCTTTTTTGTTGTGTTTAATTATGCTTGGGTGTGCAGTGCCAGTCGCTTAGCTATGACACAGCAGGGCCGGTCCTGTGGGGTGTGGGGCAAGCATGGAAATGGTCATTTGTCTACAGTGTGAATCAGGTCAGGATCTGGAGTGGGCCCACAGCAGACAGTGGGTGGGATCCAGGGCTTATGGGGGAGGACCTGGGCTCTGGGCTGGGTCCCCTCAGGGCAGTGTGACAGAGGAGATAAATAGGAGGTGGGGTGAAGGCAGGGGTAGAGGGGGCTTGATGGAAGAAGGCAATAGGGTGGATAGTTACTGTGGTTCCAGGCAGTTGATGTTGCAGGGATATGGTGGTTATAGCTGCTGTTCACCAGAAGGGTAAGTGTTGTGGGAATGTGCTCCTGTTGTTACCAGGTGGGAGAGTCTGGGCTCTTCCTTGAATCACAGCCAGCAAACATGGTCTTACTTAGCCCTGGGTGTGTCTGCGCTGTACCTCTATCTCCTATTGGGAATTTTGTGGAGGTGTCTTTCTGCGTGCAAGGTTATTAGTTTATTCAAAGATGTCCACGTTGAGTCATGTCATTTGGCCAGGAACCTCCACTCCATATCACTATTCCTTCCCTGTTTTCTATCTTTGTTGCAGCAGGATGGCTTAGTGTGTTTGACTACTCCACCATTTTTACTCCATCCCCTATCTCATCATTTTCCTGCCTTTTTAAAATTCTCTACATTTGTTCTCTCTTCTCTAACTCCTCTATCATTTCCTTGTTCAATCTCTGTGGCTCACTTGGCCAATTACAATAATCTTCATCGATCTCTCTGTCTTCTCTGTCCCCTTCAATCTATTTTGTACACATCTGCCATAGCAATATTCCTGAAGCACAGTAAATTGTGTCACTCTCTAGCTTAAAAAACAAACAAACAAAACAAAAGAAAACAAAAAAAGCAGTGAATCTTCATTCCCTACATTGTAAAGTCTATAAATCCTAAGCTTGGCCTTTGCATCCCATTCAGACATAGCTGTAAACTCTCTTCTCCTTAACTACCGTTTCTTTATCACAGACACATTACTTTCCAGCCAATTTGAGGTAGTATTTATTGTTCCCCCAACATGCCTTGAATCCACTCTCTAACTTTTACAGCAATACCTAACTCAGAAACAGCCTCTTCTGTAAAGCCCACTTCCACCTCTCCATTGGGAGTTAAACTCTCTCTGAGCTGAACGCTTCTGCAGCAGCCAACACTCACTCTTTTGTGTTGTAACATTTGTGCACATGTCTTGTCTTCCACTCTAGGCTATAATTTCCCATAGCATTTATCCTAGTGCTTTAGACAAATAGAAATGCAACTACTTTTTACTAAATTGAGTTCTCTCAGCAGAAAAGAATCGAAGGTGCATCAGGTCATGCACCCCTCAAGAGCTCCAAATTGGACCCTTCATAGAAAGGGGAAAATGGCAGCCTGGCCCTCCTCTAGGCTGTGGAAAGTCTGTGGAGCAACTCTGTTCCAAATGATCGTGATCGTGGCTCTCTTGGCTACTGTGCTTGGTGAGTAATGAGGAACGAGTTCAGATTGGCAACAATCAACTGAGATCATCCACACTTTCATTTTTAAGACTAATAAGAGATGACTAAGCATCTAGCAGAAATCCAGCTTCAGCAACAATGGGTTTATTTGACAGGCTGGAATTTAGGGGAATTTGTTTTACATACGAAAGAGGCAGTTTCCTAGACACTTCCTTCTAGAATTTCTTCACCAGGAATTTCCATAACAATCTGACTCCCAACCATGACTTGAAACAAATCTGTATTATCTATCAGTCTGACTGCAAAAAACATTCACTGCTGTATGTTTATCCAGAATGGGAAGGTGAGGAGTATACTTCTACTGGGGCTCCTAAAAGGTAAATCAGTTCTGTATTTAATTCTTGCAAGGGAAGCAGAATTAAGATTTTCATGTTTCAAAGACTCAATGCTTCCTCCTCCATATGATTCAAAATTCAGAAGGTACAAAAAGGTATAAATTAAAAATGTCATTCTTACCTGTCTCCCAGCCGCCCAGATTCCCTTCCCTGAGGCAACCAATGTTACGTGGTGTAGTTATTTTTAATGAAACAATATTTTTATGTTGAGACAAAATTGTAGGGCACCCTGGCATTGCGTGGATGCATCTGATAGGCTGATGAAATCCATGTCTGTCATCACTCTTAAATAAATTATCTCATATGTAGTAGAGAAGAAGTGAAAAATTTCTGCCTGTTATTATTATCATTTATAATTATCATTGTCTTTATCATTATCAACAAACGCGTATTACTGATCCCTCACTGGCTCATTGAACAGTGGGGACAAATAGGGGTTATGACAGAGGAGAACAGCATAGTCTCCATTCTAAAAATTTTACTACAGAAATATTGAGACACTGTGTCCAAAGTTATAACTTTTGGTACTCCTTGTCATTTTGGTGTCCAGGTGATTGTGGTCCCCCACCCAATTTATTGTTTGCTTTTCCAACGACTGCGGTGACTGAGACAAACTTCGTTAGAGGAGCTACTCTGAGATACACCTGCCGCCCTGGCTACAGTAGAAACAGTTCATTTCAGCTTCTTACTTGTGATGATGGAGGCTTCTGGCGGTACGAAGTCTTCTGTGCCAGTAAGTACCAACATTTATTTTTCTCATTGTGCTTTTTCCATCCTTGGAAAGTTGTCTCAGGAGCTAAATGGCTTCCTGATGCAGATGAGAATCCTAGATCACCAAGAAACTATTCAGTTTGTCGGTTACTGTCTTCAGTGCACACATGTGTGCCACTCTTTGAAAAACAGAACAAACTAATACAGAAAAATTAGGAGTTAATAACATTGAAATATCCATCTATTGTTTACAGAATCATTCACCAAATGCTGCTTACAAGATTTGAATCACAAATACAATTTTATGATACTGAAAACCAGATTCACTTTACAAAAAAATTTATAAACCTATGTGGCTAGAAAGTAGTAATGTATCTTCCAAAGGAACCTCACTTAACATGTTTCTGTGTTTGGAAGAAGATGCTATGATTCATCGTCAGTTGGGAATGCATTTTGAGATGTTTTCCCAATAGTAAGGGTATACGATCTATATCTTCTCTTTTTTGTTCCATTTGTGACCAGGGACATAGCATTTCTGAGTAACCAGAATTTGAAGTATATGCAGTGGACAGAGAATGGAGCAAATCTTCCTGGTCAACGTGTTAAACCCTGGACGGTAGCTCCATGGTTGTTGATGTTGTTAATTGCCATCAAATCAATTCCAACCCATAGAGGACCCAAGTGTGCAGAGTAGAACTGCTCCATGGCATTTTCAAGGTTGTGACCTTTTGGAAGCAGATTTCCAGGCCCATCTTCCAAAGTGGCCCTGGGTGGGTGTGAACTGCCAACCTCTCGGCTGGTAGTCAAGTGTTTAATTGTTTGTACTACCCAGGGTCTCTGATCTAACTGAACAGTTAGATCGGGACAAATTTTTTCTCTTTTGGTAAAATGTATTTGAAAAAAAATGAGATCAAATTTTGCATTCATTTTTCATTGAAAATAAAATTTTGAGTCAGGATCAAACTTGTAGAAATAAATTTGTATCTGAACCCCTGGGCCTTTCTGGAAGCAGGGGTTGAAGCTGATCAATCCGACTTCTTTTTTAATGCCATATCTCTGAGTGCTTAGAATCACTAATCATCATTTTAACTTTTTCTCCCAGAGAAACGATGCAGAAACCCAGGAGATTTACCTAATGGGCTTGTGGACATTAACACAGATTTCTCTTTCGGATCACAGATAGAATTCAGCTGTTTAGAAGGGTGAGTATAAGGCAGTCTAGAAACAATATTTTTATTTTAAATTAGTTTTTAAAAATAGCTAGTGTAGTCAGATATTTCAAAAAATTAACAGCTGTACATAGAGAATTTTTCCTTCTATCCCATTGCCTATCCACCCCAATCCTTCCTGTCCTCGGACAAGGATTTAATTTTATTGTTGTGTGTGTGTGTATTTTCAGTACTTATACAAATGAAAGCTAAGAAATAAGCATATATTTTTATTTTCCCCCTTTCTAATAATAAATGTAGTTTTGTGTCTTGCCTTATTTTTTACTTATCATTGTATACCGGGGATCTTTCCATGTTTGTGCATACTAATTTTCTTTTATAACTCCATAGAATTTTACTATGTAGATGTGTCATAAGGATCCCTGGTGGCACTGTGACTAAGCACTCGGCTGCTAACTGAAAGGTCAGTGCCTTGAACCTACCAGCCGCTCCAAGGGATAAAGATGTGGCAAACTGCTTCAGTAAAGACTATAGCCTTGGAAACCCTATTTTATAGGGCAGTTCTACACTGTCCTATAGGGTCTCTATGAATCAAAATCGACTCAGTGGCAATAGGTTTAGGCATGCCATGGTTTAGCAATCCCTTTGATGGATTGCTGGGTATTTTAAATCGTGTCATTTCGTACATATGCAGTTATATCTGTAGAGTAAATTGCCAGAAGTGGGGTTTCTGGGTCAAAAACTACTGATATTTGAAATTTTGAAATATATTGCCAAATTGCCCTCCCTGAGGGTTACACAGTTTTACAGAGTGTGCAAATATTGACCTCTCCATAAATTCTCCAACAGATTGTGTTGTCAAACTTTTGAAAACTTGCCAAACTTTTGGATTTCTGTCAATTTAATAGGTAAAAATGAAATCTCACTCTAGTTTTAATGTACACTTCTCTTATTATGAGCGAGGTCGAGCATAGTTTTGTACGTTCAAGGGACATTTGTATTTATTTATGAACTGTCTGGTCTGTCTTTTGCTTATTTTTTCTATAACGTTTTTGCATTTTATCTTCATTTGTAGGAGATATATGTATCAGAGTTCAGGCTTTGTTTCTAATATCAATTGCTATTCCTCCCCACCTCCCCCAGTATATTATTTTTCTTTTGACTCAGCTATTGGCATACATTTCTCAAGGAGACATTGTTTGTTTTTAGGTTGTCAAATTTATCAATCCTTCTTTTTTGTATGGCATCTATATTTTAGGTCTTAATTAAAAAGGCCTTCCCAACACAAGGGTTTAAAATAATTGCCTATATTTCTTGTACTACTTTTATGGTTTCATAATTTTGAAGGTTTGAAGCATTGAGCCATTTGGAGTCAATATAATACACATATAAGGTACAGATCCTCGTTTATATTTTTCCGTATGGCTTTCTTGCTATCCCAACATCATTTGTTAAAAAGTCCATCTTCAATCCACTGATTCAAGTGTGCTGTTTATTACTGTGTTAAATTTCCATATGTATCTGGGTCTATTTCTAGACTTTCTATTCAATGACAGTGTTCTGTCTATATATTCCTGTATGACTTTCACAGTCATTTTGTTACTATGACTTCATAATATGGTTTAATAGACAATATGAATAGTCCTACTTATTACACTCCTTTTTTGGAGTTTTGCTGACTATACTTGTTTGTTTATTTTTCTATATTTATAATCTAAAGTTAGGTAGATTTTAAAGTTAGTGTTGGATTCGTTTTTAATTTAGGAAAATGTAGATTTTATGACGTTGAATCTCCCTAGTCAAAAATATGTTATGTTTTTCCCATTAATTTTTTTTTTCTTTCAGGAGTGTTTCAAAGTTTTCTTCACAAAGATTTTGCATTTTTTGAAGTGTTTAAACCTATGTATTTTATATTTGCTATTTTAAATGAGTCTTTTTTTCCATTATATATATTTTAACTAGTTGGGATCCCTCTCTCTCTCTATATATACATATTTCTATGAGTATGAATAAAATTGATTTCTGCATTATTAACTTGCCATCTCTGCTAACTTCCTGAATTATTTTATTATTTATGATACTCTTTCTGTCGAATTCTTTTGGGATTACAAGGTTTGCAATGATAACAACTGAAAATAGTGTTTATTTTACCTTCTACTTTCTAATATTTATATTTCTAGTTTCTTTTTTTGTCTATGTTAGCTAATCGTATCTCAGGAGCCTTGGTGGCACAGTGGTTAAAAGCACTCAGCAGCTAATGGAAAGGTCGGTGGTTCAAACCTAGGAGTCATTCTGCAAGAGAAAGATGTGGCTGTCTGCTTTTGTAAAGATTTACAGCCTTGGAAACTCTATGGGAGCAGTATGATTCTGTCCTCTAGGGTCACTGTGAGTCAAAATTGACTCAATGGCAGTGAGTTCGTGGTTTAATTGTATCACTCAGGATCAACTCAGAGAAACAGAATCACTCAGATATATATAAGAAGGCTTTTCTTATAGAGACCTGGCTTAATGTGGGAGATGCGATGGGAGCTGTGTAGAGGAGGTTGTTCCTTCCATGTCTGGTGCTGTGGCTGGGTGAGCAGGGCAGGAAGTTAGGAAGGGAAGATGGAGGTGAAGTGTACCATGCAAGGACAAACTGGAACTGCAAGGACACGTATAGGCTGGAATTTGCATTGTTCTTTCACTGTCTCTGAACTTTCAACTTGAAGGAGGGGGATGTCCTGTAGGAGAAGTTGTTGCTCTTCATCACAGTGCTAATGCACCTGGATCAAAGGTTGGAGTGAGTGAAGGAAGAGATCCACCTGGAGCTGGCGTTGCTGTGGGCCTGGCTGCTGCCCCATGCCAACAAGATGATAGAGCAGAGAAGCAACAATGTGTGTGAGCTGCAATCCATATCTTGTGTCCTGCTCTGATCTTCCAAGCATGTAAAGAATATGAATACTCATTCACTTCCATCTTCTCTTGTGGGCTACAATAAACTGGCATTATGCATGGAAGAGAATTCTGAGAAACATAGTTCCAGTTTAGCTAAATTGACACAATACAAATCCACCACAGTCCGTCCACCCCTTGTCAAATTTGGTGTTTGTATGCACTTGTTTTAACCATACTTAGTTTAACTTCCAAATAAAGACAATGTCAAAACTATATTCTCAGCTTACACAATGAAACTATTCTTCATACAACCGAAAACATGTTAACTCTCTCTCCTCAAAAGAGGACCCTCTTTGAGCTGAGTCATAGCTCCCCTTTGATATCTGGTAACTGAAATACTAAGATAAAGATTAACTCTTATTAACACTTTATGTCAGATGGTAGAGGGATAAATGAGGTAAAAAGAAAAAAAAATTCTACCAAATCTGTTCATGTCAAAATAAGTATTCATAACTATTATGGTTCTTGTTTCTGCAACTGGTCATGTGTTTACAGCTAATATTTACAACTACCTACTTCTATTATTTATTCTATATTTGCTTTGCCCTCAGCAAGCACTTCATCTCATTGTGGTTCTTTGCCTCATGGGGTCAACCAAAAGTTCATTCCTGCAGGGTCTGAACCATTAGCAGTCCTGCCTCTATTGGGTTGTTGTAGTTTTCTGCTGTCTTTAATTACAGGGCATGGGAATACAAGGAGGTTCCCCATGGAATCTCCTGTATCCCAGACATATTCATCCTTACCCCTATTTCTTAGTAGTAATCCAATTTCCTGTTTATAATCAGGATTAACCACCCCAGGCATTAAGGTAACCCCGCTTCTTTGCCTGTTGATTCACTCGCATGAGGGTCCAAAGTTGACAGGTAGTTGCAGCCTTAACCTCAAGGGTAATTTAGGATTGTTGTTGTTCTTCTTGTGTGCCACTGAGTCAGTTCCGACTCATAGTGACCCTATATGACAGAGTAGAAATGTCCCATAGGGTTGCCAGATAAAATATAGCATGTTTAGTTAAATTTAAATTTCATATAAAGAACAAATGATTTTAGTATAAATATGTCCCATGCAGTATTTGGGACACACTTAAGCTCCTGTATCTTTATTTGCTAATTCTGGCAACTCTAGTTTAATGGAACTATTGGTGGAAGCATTTCTCTACTGGGAACTAAAACTTCTAGACCAACAAAGAATTTTATTTGTTTTATGTCTACATTTTAGAATTTATCAATGAATGTTCATGTCAATTTTCATGAATATTCCACAGGCATTTGAAATGAAGATATATTCTTTATTATCAGTGTACAGAGTTTGATATATGTACATCATACCAACTTATTGATTAGCTCTTCTGAACCTTTAATTATACTTCTTTTTTATGTCTTAAGCTTAAAGATAGAACTTTAATTAAATTAATAATTTCATAATTATTTAAGATATAATAAAATAAATTAATGATAAATAATTAGTGGTGTGTTTTGACTATTTTTCATCTGTCCCAGTATTTTTGTTTTATTAAAATTGCTGTTACATTATTTGGTACATGGAGATTCATAGCTCTTCATTGCAAATCAAAACCTTTAACATTATAAAGTGCCCATTTTTTGTATTTAATAACTTTCATTCTGAAGTCCAAGTCACGGGATATTAAAATCATCATCCCTGCTTTTCTTTTTGATTGCATTTAATTGACATAACTTTGCCCTTTCTTTTATTTTTAATCTGTCTGAAATACTTTTGTCTCTTGTATACAAGATAGAGTTCAGCTGTGATCTAATTAAAAAATCTTTTTCTTTCAATAGGATACTTAAGCCCAATTACATTTATTGATATGAGTCATATTATTTTATATTTGCTAATATCTGTAACTATTTCTTCTTAAATATAAAAAATATATAATTTTTAAAATAACAAATACAAGCATATATATTTAACACATTTAGGGAGATTTGAGTTTTTTGGTTTATTTTATTTTGTTTGATTTTTTTCATTTTTACCTTCTGTTTCTCTTACTGTGCCTTTAGTATAGTATTCTTTAGATTTTAGCATTTTATTTTATCCTCTTTTTTTTAATCAAATGGTTTTGTCTTTTTTTTCTATTTATTTCCCAATTTCTACCTTCTCTTCTATGAATTCAGGGAAGAGAAGGTAGAAATTGGGAAATATATATACATGTATAGATACGTATTCTTCCCTATTGCATCACAACTTTTGTTTAAAGTTGTGAAAATGTGTATTTTAAAACTTTTGAAAATATCATGTTGGAATATAGGTTGTAATTTTTATATGTTGAACTTATGGATTAAAGAATTAAGGAATAAAAGAACAAATGAACAAACATTTAATTCACTTGTAGGAAAGTTTTGCTGCTATTTTAAAATTTTTTTAAATAACAGCTTTTATGGTCACTGTAATATCACTTTTTCACTATGCATACTTGAATGAGTTATTTTATCCTGTACCAGTCATTAGGAAGAGGTTTGAGGGGTAGAATAGTGAAGCACAGGTAATCTTCCAATTTAGAAACTCAATGACTTTCTTTTGTTAATATTCATAGAGTATATTGTTTTTGTGACATTTTCTGAAGATTACCAGTAGATTGCTGGGCACTTTGCACATCTACTTTCTTCACTTACCCGCCCCTCTTCACTAAGCTTTCCACTTAGGATAGGTGCTCTCCTGAGATGGTGGTTCCTGAGGTCTGCCACTTCTAGGCCTCCTCTACCCTTCCCATTACACCATTTTCATTACTCATGTGGGATTTCCTGCCCAGTTATGCAGGTCATAGTTTTTTTTAATAGACCTTGCCCATAATTTTGAACGTATGTTTGCTTTTTATTTTCTTCTGTCTCCTATTTACACAGAAAATGTGTAGTTTTGTGGCCAATTATATTATCGTTGTTGTTCTTGCTGTTCTCTGTTGTACTGCATGACTCTTCAAGAGGGAAAGTGAGCAGATTCAAAACTAAGGTGCTACCATGTTTCTATTGGAATAACCAGAAACAATACTTTTTTCTTTTTTTTTTTTGAGGCCTTACTGGGATTTGAACAGAAATAATACTTTTAGTTTGGTCTCTTGGCTAGGTTAGAAAAATTACATTTTTAAGAAAATTTAAAATAAAGAAATGCTTAATTCTCGCTATATCTTATCTTGTTGTCAGTATTCAATAAATTGCAGAGGCTCTTAGACCACTGAAGGTAACATTGCCTTAGAGCTCCTGTCACATTGTAGGCTTATTCCTTGATGACGCTACAATTGGAAATTACGTTAGCAATGATTTTGTTGTTGTTGTTATCATAAGACCTTTAGGGCAGTAAGATTAGAAGAAATTTCAGGACTAGTCAAGAGCCAGAAAAAGACGGTGAACAGGGAGTTAATGGTTTATGGGAGTAAGCCAAGCATCTAGAAGTCAGAAGGTGGCTTCCATTCAGAGATCATGATAGTTTAGGGTCAGTAATCTAGCTGGTACTCTCATTCAAAGAAAACTGCAGCACACATTCAAGTGAGCTTTTCACTCCACATGTACTGCTTGAGCTCTGGATGAACTCCAGGTCTGGCACTTAGTAGAGGCCCAATAACGTATTAAAAATAAAAGAACAAATGAACAAACGTGTTCATCTCATGGCAGTGGCGAAATTTAACTGGATATAGTATTCAATGGGAAGTGCTATCCAAGAAAACATTATTTCTCCATTTTTAATTTTAAGTAGCATATCTATTTTTAAAGACTCCTTTATCCAATTTAATATAGCATAGGAATAACTCCATTAAAATATTTGATCTCATTTTTTTTTCAGATATATCTTAATTGGCGCAACTACTAGCTACTGTGACATCCAAGAGAAAGGAGTTGACTGGAGTAATCCTCTCCCAGTGTGTATAAGTAAGTAAAGCTTTTTTTTTCTGGCTTGAAATTTAGCCACGTTATATAATAAAACTTCTGTGTATCTTTGCTCCTTTGTGTACCTTCCAGTAGAATTTGAATCATTTCGTTTAGATTTGTAATTATGCCTTTCCTGGTTATTTCTTCCTCTTCCCTCATCTCAGTTGCAAAATGTGAGCCTCCTCCAGCCATCAGCAATGGGAAGCACAATGGTAGAGAAGAAGATGTATATACATACGGCTCTTCTGTCACCTACAGCTGTGACCCCCACTTCTCACTCTTAGGCAAAGCCTCCATTTCCTGCACAGTGGAGAACAAAACAATAGGTGTCTGGAGCCCAAGCCCTCCTACCTGTAAAAGTAAGTCATAGCAAGAAATTCTGCTTTGTACTGTTGGTTTTCATTTGTTTAAAAGAAAAAAAGAAGGCAAATTTATTGGGGAAATGGCACAATTTCAAGACAAAATAATTACTGCAATGATGCAGTCATTTATTTGGTCATCTGAGCCTTATTGCCTGCAGTGCCAGTATATAGTACTGTACAGCACCTATAGCTCATTGACTTTGTGAAGGAGAAGTTTATTTCTCACTTCTGCTAAGACTTATACTAAGTCCATTGCACTTCAAACAGCTCTCCAGGGCAGCTGGTTTCTATCTGTCAACAACCCAGGTGGTTTGATCATGTGGCACCTCCACATCAAAATGTGCTTTCATAGATATAACACCAAGAGCAGGAGCAGCAAAAAAAAAAAAAAGGATAAATTAGACTTCATGAAAATTAAAAAGTTTTGTGCATCAAAGGACTTTATTAACAGAGTAAAGAGACAACGTACAGACTGGGAGAAAATTTTGGGGAACTATATATTTGATAAGGATTTAATATCCAGCATATAAAGAACTTCTATAACTTAACAACAAAAAGACAAACAACCCAATCAACAAACAAGCATAGTAATTGAATAAGCATTTCACCAAAGAGAATATACAAATGACCAGCAAGCACATGAAAAGATGCTTGATGTCATTAGTCATTATCAGTACCCATTGCTGTCGAGTCGATTCCTACTCGTGGTGACTCCATGTGTGTCAGAGTAAAACTATGCTCTGTAGGGTTTTCAATGGCTGATTTTTCAGTAGAACGAGGCCTTTCTTCGAGGTGCTTCTAGGTGGACTCAAAGTTCTAACCTTTCAGTTAGCAACTGAGTACATTAATCATTTGCACCACCTAGGAACTCTTATTAGTCTTTGTTATTGTTCATTGTCATTGAGTCAATTCTGACTCGTGGTGACCCCATGTATGAGAGAGTAGAACTGTGCTCCATACAACTTTCAAGGCTGTGACTTTCAGAAGCAGATCGCCAGACCTGACTTCCAAGGTAGCTCTGAGTGGATTCGAACTGCCAGTCTTTCAGTTAGCCACCCAGGGACTCCACCATTAGTCACTTGATATGCAAATCAAAAACTACAGTGAGCTCCTACTTCACCCACACTATAATGGCTGTGATTTTAAAAAAAAAAAAAATCCCAACAAAACAGCAGCAACGAAAGAAACCCAGAAAACAACAGGTGTTGCCAAAGATGTGGAGAAATTGGAACCCTCATCCATTGCTGGTGGGAATGCAAAATGGTACAGCTGCTGTAGAAAAAAGCTAGCAGCTCGTTAAAAAATCGAATATAAAACTGCCATATGACCCAGCAATCCTAATCCTTGGTATATACCCAAAAGAAGTGAAAGTAAGCATGCAAATAGAAACTTGTACACCAATGTTCATTGTAGCAATTTTCACAATAACCAAAGAATGGAAACAACCTAAATGCCCATCAACAGATGAATGGATAAACAAAATGTGGTACAGACCTACAATGGAATAAAGAGAAGTGAAGTCCTGATACATGCTAGGACATGGATGAATCCTAAAAACATTGTGCTGAGTGAAATAAGTTGGTCGCAAAAGGACAAATACTATATGATCCCACTTGTATGAAATAGGTAAATGAATAGAGATTGAAGCTTATTAGTGGTTTCCAGGGGTGAGAAGAAGGAGCCCTAGTGGCACAGTGATGAAGCGCATACCTTTTAACCTAAAGGTCGGTGGTTCTAACCCACCAGCTGTGCCACAGGAGAAAGATGTGGCAATCTGCTTCTGGAAACATTACAGCTTTAGAAACCCTGTGGGCCAGTTCTACTCTGTTCTATAGGCTTGCTATGAGTTAGAAAATGACTCCAAGGCAATGGGTAATGGGAGGGGTGAGAGGGACGGGGACAAGGGAAGTCTTTGCTTAAGGGGCATTGAGTTTCTGTTAATGGTGACGGAATAATTTGGAAACAGATGGTGGTGATAGTTGCACAGCATGATGAATGTAGTCAATGTCACTGAATTATACACGGAGAAAATGTTGACTTCGCAAATGTTGTATTATACGTATTTTTACCAAAATAAAACAATAAAAAAATGTGCTTTCATAAACTCTTCAGCAGAGAAAGTGTGCCCTGGCTATTAAGATATTTGGTCTCTAAATGGCCACCTACCACTTTCCATTGCACCCTTTTGGCCAGAACTAGCAATGTGGCCCTATGTACTTACCCTAATGGACTGGGGAATATAGTATTTTGTCTATCCCGGAAGTGAAACTAGAAATATTGGTTAGTGCTTTTAATGTCAGCCACATATGACTACAGGGCAAACTAAACACCAGAGGTCAGCAGTACAAAGCAAGCAGTAAGGGAGCCAGAAGATAACACGTTATTGCTAGTTTGCAGATCTAAGGCATCTCCCTTAACTACTAAGTGCGTACACATGGCCCACTGCTCTGGCTCCCCCCAGGATGCAAACCGCGTGGTGAGAAAACATGATACTGCAATACTGGAAAAGGTGGAAGTGTCAGGAGCTGAGGCTGGAAATGTCGGTGAGGGCCAGGTTAGGAAGGGCCTCACGCCTCACCCTCGGGAGTTCTGAACAAAGGCGAAGGGGAGACATTATGAAGCTTTAAGCAGGGGAGTAAATGTGCTGCATTTTAGAAAGAAAACCGTGGATTCAGTGAGACAAACTTAAGCCCAAGAGACAGAAAGGCACCTGTTACAACCATCCAGAGAAGAAAGCGAAGGTGGCTTCCACTGCTGCTGAGGCAGTGGGCCTGTAGAGGAGTTGAGAGATTGACTACTAACCGAAAGGATGGCTGTTTGAATCCACCCAGTGCTGCTGTGGAAGAAAGGCCTGGTAATCTATTTCCATAAAGATTACAGCTAAAGGAACCCTGTGGAGCTGTTCTACTCTGTAACACATGAGGTTGCCATAAGTCAGAATCAGCTAATTTTCAGAGGTAGAATGCCAGGCCTTTCTTCCTAGTCTCTCTTGGTCTGAGAGCTCCACTGAAACCTGTCCACCATGAGTGACCCTGCTGGTATTTGAAATATTGATGGTGTAGCTTCTAGCTTCATAGCAACATGCAAGCCACCACAGTATGACAAACTGACAGATGGGTGGTGGTGGAGACATGTATATATACGTATTTACTTTAAAATGGTTTCCATGTATCCACTTGAGAAGTACTTGTGTCAGGCCTTTGTGTTGTACTTGGAACTGGATAAGCAGTACCACTCATATCCTTATTTTCATTTCTTTTTTTATAACCCACTTGTCTTTTCTTATGATTTGTTAGAAATCACCTGTCCTCCACCAAAGGTTCCAAATGCAGCAATAATCTCCGGATTTGGACCCACCTATACTTACAAAGACTCTATTGTATATAATTGCAAAAATGGTTACATCCTCAGAGGCAACAGCTTAATCCATTGTGAAGATGATAACGAATGGCATCCTTCTCCTCCTACTTGTGAGCTCAGTGAGTATGGACCATGAAGAATTTCAGTGTTTGGCAGATCATCTAAAGGTACCAAGAAATGTTAGTGGGGGCGTACTTGCATGCCTAGGTCCACTTTGACTCACGGTAGCAATTTAAAGTTGGAGCAACAATTTCCTCTCTTTTTTCTTACTGGAGGGAAGAATAATTTCAGTACATTCTGCAAAGTCATGTAACTAAGGGGCAGCATTCACATTGTAGACATTGAGGATTCATATATTTATTACAACAATTTTCTGCCAATTGATGGAAAATTGTGTTGTTCTAACAAAATTATTATGCTGTGGTAATTGTTTTGAAAGATAAAAGTGTCTCAAGATAGAAATGTTTTTCTAACTTGCACAGGAGCACTGTATGAACTAGTTATGATCCTTTCACTCAGAAATCATAAACTCATGTGTATCATTAAAAAGGTGATAGTAGTGATAATGATAACTTGGCACTAGTCTAGTGCATTGTAAGAATTCATGAATTCTCCCAACAATTGTGAGTACTATTATTATCCTCATTTTACAGATGAGGAAACTGTTCACAGGGGTCAAGTGACTTGCCCCAGGTCATACAGCTGGTAAGGGTAGAAGCGTTGCTGCCTTGTGCTTTTGCTTTTGGCTTCACGAAACGTCAAGAAACTTATCCTGGGGGCTTTTGGAACCGTGGTGTGAGGAGCCTGGGGAAAGCTCTCCTGGAGACACATCTGTTAAGCTGGTTTAAACTACCAAAGAAGACCATTCAGAGTCTCTGGAAATTAATCAAAGGGCTTGCAATAAATTGAGAAGCATTTTATTAGGAAAAAAAATCTACAGAGAGGTTGTAAGAACAGTGGGAGGCCATGGAATTAGAACTAGGGACTTCAACCAGCCCATGAGCTCCCTGGGATGGAAGAGTCATTCTGGTGGATTCAGCACCCAGGGAACAGCATAAGATTGCATTTTTCACAGCTCCACACTACAGAAGGCCTATAACGAATGGGTGGAGGCAGCTGGATATCAGTGTCTATTCCTCCAGCCAACTCCCACTGTATAGAGAGGGTCCAGGTGGGGCAGCTGGTGAAGAGTGCAGTGCCCCTTTCCTGCACAGCTCTGTGTTGCAGGAGAGCTGCTCCAGTGGGCTTGGCAGCTAAGTAGCAGCTCCCATCTTCCTCAGTTTCCTAAAACAGAAGAGCTCTTATGCGAAGATTTGACAGCCAGTATAATTGGCAAATCTCATTCTCCCTGGTTGTGAAATAACTGTACTGGATGGTGGTGGCAGCCAGGTGGCAGTACCAGTTCCTACCACCCCTCATACCTCCACACCCTCCACTGGCCTCCCCTTCCCCCCAATCCAATGAGGCTCCTAACCCTTAGCATAGAGGTTCTGTCCAGGAGAGGTTTGGAGCAAGCCTCAAAGACTGGCAATGCCCTGCCTGTGCCAAGGAGCCTGATTTTAATTGGATCAGACTGTGGTGTAATTTATGCCTCAGGAAGTTGTCAAAAACAGTAGAGCAATTAGTTGTCAATTAGTGGGGGCTAACAGCTGTTCCATTAAAAATGTTTGAAGAGAAAATGTAATAAACACCCACTTGGTAGTTGTTTATATTCTACTTCCGTATCATATGAACTAGTAACATCGGGAAAGAGAAAAGAGGACAAGACTCAAGGCCCAGTTTCAAAAGATGCTTGGAACTTGGTTTGTTCTTGCCAAGCCCTTAAATGATAAAGTTCCTGGTGTCATTAGAGTGAGGGGAACGACTTTTACCTTTTTTCCCTAACCAGGCCACTTGGCAGCGCCCTCGGTGACCCCCTCTGGTACTGTGCACATGTGGGCACACATTCATGTGTGTTTTCTGCTGTGGCTGATTCATCAGTCTCTGCGGCTGGTTCCTGGCTCAATGAACATGTGACACCCTTTGAAACAACAGGCTCATGGGTCGCTGTGGCAGCCCTAGTAACAGTGTCCTTTTCTCTTGTTCTTCCTTTATGAGCAGACAGTTGTGTCAACTTACCAGACATCCCGAATGCTTCCTGGGATACACATAATCACTACAGGGCAACAAAATATGGCATGTATAATATTGGGACTGTGTTGAGGTACCACTGCAATCATGGCTACAGACCCACTGGGGATGAGCCTACGACTGTGACTTGTCAGGAAGATTTGACGTGGACCCCATTCAAAGGGTGTGAGAGTGAGTTTTTGTTTTTTAAATCTCTTTTTGTATATTAAATGTCCAGTATGTGCTAGGATTGTCTACTTTAATTGAATATAATTTTATTCCTCAAGATAAATTTAGAATTATATTAATTCAATAGAATGTTGCTATTGTTGGGCACCACTGAGTTGGCCCCAACTCATGGTGACCCCGCAAAAAATGGATTGGACAATGTTCTATTCTGATCCATTGGCTGATTTTCGGAAGTGGATTTCCAGGCCTTTCTTCCTAGTCTATCTTAGTCTGGAAGCTCTGCGAAAACCTGTTCTGTACCATAGCATCACGCAAGCCACCACTGACGAATGAGTGGTGACTGTGAATAGGATAGTGAACTGTTATTGCTGAAGGGATTATAAAAGTCTTAGGGTTTGAGGAGCTGAAAAACTGCTACTTTGCTCAGAGTATCATCCCAATGTGAAATACCTACCTCTCTTTCACCAAGAGGCACTCAAGTGCTAAACACATTCTTGCCCACTTCCCTTGGATTTCAACAGTCCTATTTATTGATGATCAGGATCAATTACACCTGGTAGGATAGTGACTTCTCCCCTTGTCTTCTGGACAAGAAGGAGCCCCAAAGTGGACTGGCATTAGTTGCAACTTATAAATCAACTGGACTCTATCTCTCCTGGTGAAAGCATTCCCACTTTGAGAAGCAGGACGTCTAAACTCACAGCTCCCAGAGTTTTGGGGATAAGAATTACAAACTTCCCAACTGGGATACTTAGAGTGATGTGGAGCCACTCATGCTTCCACCCTTGGTTTCAGGATCCATGCATTTATTTTATTGAGGACTCAGTACCACCTAGAAAATGATCTCTGATTCAAAGTGAAAACTATTCTGGAAGATTGTGTCCCATCATTGCAAAGTGTTGCCTCTCATCTGGCACTTCAATTTGACTTTAATGGGCCACTCCAAAGTCATATAAAGGTGGAAGGTTCTGGGTGATGCAGTATGTGATATGAGTAGTGGATTTCATGGCCAGGGTCCCAATACCACACCTCTTGCTATCACACATGTAATAACTAGAGGTCTTTTAGTTGAACACAGTGTTATGTGGGATCAATGTCAATTGATCAAACAGTCCATAAGCCTTTATATAGCAGTGCTGACTGAGGTCCTTCAGGCAGAAAAGATAGACCCATACTTGCAATGTGTGTCCATTTCTGTCATGATAAATTGCTGGCCCTTCCAGGGTAGAAGAGGTCCAACATAGTCAACTTGCTACCAAGTGGGTTTTTGGTTGCCTGGATGGATCGTATCATATCAGATGCTCAGTATTGTTGCTGGCAGGTTGTACATTCAGTGGCAGCAAGAGCTAGTCAGTCTTGTTGATTGAGAGGCCTGCTGTTGGGCCCATGCTTATCTTCCAAATATACCACCATGGCCTCTTTGCTCCCCTTCTCCTTGTGCCAGCCCAGATAAGGCCAATGACAGAGGGTGACTGATTTCAACAGACTGAGGCAATTTTTTCCTACTGGATTGTTTAATGCCTCTTCTGTTTGCGATGTGCTCTGGTGGGTGGTAACATGCAAAATATAAATCTTTCCATTTCCTGCCTCTCCCATGTGGCCACTCACCTGCTGACACTACAGATCTCCTTGTGCTCAGTCTTCCAGTCTTTCTCCTTACAGGGCCCTACTGGACAAGCCTTCATTCCAGATCATGAGTCCTAATTTATTGCATCCTTGGGCCACTTCTTGTTCTAATAAGAATGACCAGGTGTACCACCTAAAGCTCTGCCCATCAGTAGGATTTTCTCCTACTATTGTCTCTCTAGGCTACCCCTGATTGGGAACTGCCATCTTCTTTTGCCTGCATATACACACCAAAGCTCTGGCTTTTTCTTGTTCTGTTAGTTGGTTATAGTGGATAATCCATATAACCATAAGCGTGAGCTAAATGCTAGTGAATAAGCAGAAGAGCTTATGGAATTATGTTATTTTGCAACTTTCTTCATATCAGAGTAATGGAGATTATTAAGGGAAAATTTAAAGTTATGCCCCAGCATAATGTATGTTCATAAATTTATTCACTAATACAAGATTCTAGTGCAACAGTGGCTGGGCTCCCTGTTTGTGCAGCTTGCTTGTGCCATCTGGCCCTGCTCATGCTCAATCCCAGATGAACCACTTCCATCTTTTAATGGATTGTTCTTGAGTTTCCTAGGTCTTGTAACTTGGTGGATCTGATAGAACCCAGCTCATGATGGGCGATTCTGGCTATATGGTCTCTTGATGTCCCAAGCTCAGGTGTTTTGTCTCTATTCATGACCAGGTGACATGCCAGGAGTTATATTTCAAAAACATATAATTTTCAGCTACAGCACACGTCCTTGCCTCAAAAATCTCAAGGGTATGTGATGTGATTGTCCCATTGACATTTGCATCTTTTCCTACTACAGACACCTCCAATACTCTGCAGGGATGATTTTACTGCAGAGTGGACCTGCTGCAGAGCCCTTTCCTAATTGTCTTAGTTATCTAGTGCTGCTATAACAGAAATACCACAGATGGATGGCTTTAACAATCTGAGATTTATTCTCTTGCAGTTTAGGAGACTAGAAGTCTGAATTCAGGGTGCCAGCACTAGGGAAGTCTTTCTCTCTCTGTTGGCTCTGGGAGAAGTTCCCTGTCATCAATCTGACCCTGGTCTAAGAGCTTCTCAGTGCTGGGAACCCTGGTCCAAAGGATGTGCTCTCTCCTGGCGCTTCTTTCTTGGGGGATGGAGTCCCTCTCTTCTCTGCTCAATTTTCTCTTTTGTATCTCCAAAGAGATTAACTCAAAATACAACCTAATCCGGTAGATTGAATCCTGCCTCATTAACGTAACTGCCTCTAATCCTGCTTTATTAACATCGTAGAGGTTAGGATTATAACACATAGGAAAGTCATATCAGATCACAAAATAGTGGACAACCACACAATACTGGGAATCATGGCTTAGCCAAATTGACACACATTTTTGGGGGTCACAATTCAAACTATAACACTAATACAGGCTCCACTCAAACCTGGCAATCTTTTGTGTCACGTAGCACATAGGATGGAGCAGTATTCCCAAGATAGGATCATATGGCCTCTAGAAACTGAAGAGGCCTGCTAGGAATTGTGGTTCTTCCTCCCTGATGGGGTACACAATTTGAAATAATTTTGCTTTACTTTGGAAGAGATATGCTAGCATACCCTGAACCCTGGAGTTCTAAAAACTTTTTACTGATGTGTCAAATCCCTGAATTTTATCTTCTATACTGTGGGACATCATCAGGCTAGCTCTTTCTTATTCATTCAGTAGAATTAACATGATGTTATTGATACAGTGGATCAAAGTGATGTTCTGTGGGATATCCAGGTGGATAAGATATCTTCAGGCTCTACTGTAACAGGGCAGGAGAAATATATCCTAGGGCAAAACTGTAAATGTATGCTCTGGACCCTTCCACGTGAATGCAAACTGTTTTTGATACTTTTTTTTGATAGGGATGTAAAAGAAGGCCTTTGTTAAATCAGTGGCCTTATTTACCTAACGCTACATTAATCTGCTCTAGCAAAGATATCACATATGGCACAGTGGCTGCAATAGGGGATAAAATGAGTGTTCAGTAGTCTACTGTCATTCTCCAGAATCCATCTATTTATTTTAATGAACAGATTGGTGAATTAAATAAAGGTATGAAGGGAATCACTATGCCTGCATCTTTCTTTAGGCTTTAAAAGTAGCACTAAATTACTCCTCCCCCTCTATATATGGTATTATTTTTTATTTACTTTCTTTCCTTGAGGAAGTGGGAGGGAGGCAGTATCAATGGCTTCTACCTGGCCTTCCCTGATGTGATAGCTCTTACCTTACAGGCTAAGGAACCAATGTGGAGGTTGTGCCAACTACCAATTAGATCTGTTTTAATTATACTTCCATGGATCATGTAAATGACCACCAAATGTTCTAATGACTGGGTAATAATGTTTCCTGGTATCATTCTCAACTCAGAATCTATGTCCAGTAATCTTTGGATAATTTGCATCTTTCACCAGTGCACAGTTACCCACAAAAATGGACATAGATCCTCTTGAAGACTGAGGAACTCATTACCATGCATTCTTTCCAAGGTGTGCTAGTATCTCTTCTCCTGGGAACTGGCCTCTTCTACAGTCAATGATCTCTAGGCCTGGAAACTGGCCCAGGTTCAAACTCTGAGCAAGAGATTATGACTTTTATTTAGCCAATTCTCTCAGTCTCCTGATCATCCAGCCTTAACTTCTTTGGACTATACAAATTGAGGAGTATCCTTGTTGGCTGCTCATTTATTTTCATCCTTATTTTCTATCAGCATCTTTTTATCTCTTAGGCACCCCTAGCTGCCTGTCTGACCTTGCCACTCATGATGTTCACATTCAGGTAGCATCTGAAGCCTCTGAGCAGCTCCTGCCTGCTTTTACTATCAGTGACCCAGTTTTTTATTGGCCTTTCCTATCATCAGGTCTGGCCTTTGATGCTGGTGCTCCTCTTGTCAGAGAATTCCTTATGGCCTTGATAAATGTTGTGCCCCCAGGCCTTCCCATGGAACATAATCATCTGGTGGTTTTTTAGCCTGACATAATATATCCATTACAGCACACTCACTTTCTTGATTCTCTTAATCCCTTCTTCAACCTTCTGCCATGGCATTTCCATCTCACCTGTTGTAGGCCATCACTTTTTCCATGTTTCTAAGAGCCATCCTAGTACTATACTTCTAAATAGTCCATCACTATATACCTCATCTGCCATTCCCAATGCTCTATTTAATTTCCATTTCTCATGCAGTCCTGGTGAACACTGACAGTGCTCCCTTTCGGAGGGGGGCTCTGAACCATGTCATGTTTATTATTTCAACTTGCAAGTTATCATTTCATTCTTCTAAGGCCTTCTTTCTACAATTTTTTAAAATGCATTAGGTATATTCTCGGTGGGGATGAATGGATAGTTTTGACTACGGGTGGGGTGGGGACTCAGAGATAGTGGATTTATCTGTTTTTGCAGTTCCTCGCAGATGCATACCTTTCCATTTAGCCTGAACTTGGTTGAGTGTGCTTCTAGTACAATGTGACTTGGAGACTAAATCCAGCCTTCATGCGAAAGTGGCCTCTAAACCGTTTAAAGTTTAGTGAACCTATCAAGAAAATGGGAGAAATCCCTCACCCTCCTGGCTTTGAATTTAACTTGATCCTTTCTACAGTTCATTGGCCTAAGGATTATGAGACAGCAGGACAAGTTCTTGGATATACCAAGTAGTCTTATGGACAGAGACGAAAGGACAGAATGAAGCCTTTTATAAACCACATAGAGTCCAAGATGTCTTATTTTATAAACTCTACTAGCTCATGTTCTCTCATTTTTCTCTCTCACCATCAAGGTTGCCATACTCCTCCTAGCATTGCCCATGGACGTTATAAACCAATTCAAACATATTACAGAACTGAGTTTGTGTATGAATGTGATGAAGGATACACTCTGGTTGGACAGGCTAAATTTTCCTGCAGGTCTTCAGGCTCATCACTTCCAGCTCCTCAGTGTAAAGGTAACTCAAGCTCCCTTTACAGCTCATGGCAAAGTGAGTCGAAATATCATGACAGGATTGAGAGTAAAGCTGCCTGAGGCAACACATATACATTTTATTTTGTCTTATTTATTTTCAGCAATTAATATATGCACATGTGTCCAATGCAAAAAGGACAAAGAACTTACTGAAAAGGCAATCTTCCCCGCTTTTTTTCTCCCAGTCACACAATTGGTGACTTTAGAGGCAGTCTCTATCCCCAGTTTCTTGTATATATTTTCAAAAACATAGCAGAGGCAGTGCATTTTATCTGAGAATAGCTGAAGCCCTGAGTAAAATTTTTATGGAAAGTTGCTTAATATAAATGTGGACTCTCATGGGCTAATCCCAACCATCATGAAGTGACAGGTATCTCCATCAGAGCTTTACACAGGGCACCACCTGCCCATGATATAGGTGGTGTGATGGGGGACTCTTGGTTTGCCAACCAGTTATGGTGACAGAATGAGTCAAAACTGGGTCTGATGTTTATGTGCATACAGCTGTCTTATCTCTTTACTAATGATAATACCAGGAATTATTTGAAACTATTGTCTCCTTGAACATAGAAGAATAATGAGGCAAGAAGGGGGAAATTTTCATACCTAGTATCTTGCAGAAATCAAGACTGTGAGGGATAGTTGTTTTGAGAGCTGAGAACCTGGGGTCCCATACATTTTTTCATATGTATCTTATCATATTATTTAAAAAAGTCATGACCTTGGGCAAGTTTCTCAACATCTCTGTGTGTCAATTTTCTCCTAGGTAAAATGGATTAATAGCCATTTCATAGGATTGTTGCGAGACTTAAGACACAGTCACATAAAGTGCTCAGCCCAAAGTCTAAGATGTAGTTAATTCTCAAGAAAAATGTTGATTAATATTATTGTTTTATCAAAACGAAAAAATTAGTACCCCTAAATATAGTTCATAGTTATTATCCTATCCTATTATCATGCCTTTTTTCTTGGAATAACAGATTGCTTAAAATTGTGTTTCCATTACAGCTCTGTGTTCGAATCCAAAGATAGAAAATGGAAAGCTGTCTGTGCATAAGTATCAGTATACTGAAGGTGAAAATGTAACTGTGCAGTGCAATCCTGGCTATGCTGTGGTAGGCTCTCAAAATATCAGTTGCTCAGAGAACAGAACCTGGTACCCAGAGGTGCCCAAGTGTGAGTGGGTAAGTGGCACAATTCAAAGAATTTCCTGTCCTATCACACCCTAAAAATGGTGGCCACCTCTGAAGCACTGTCCCAGCCATCACTGGTGAGATGTCTTGTCAGGAGTCATTACTGAGTTCTTAAAGGTCACGCAGAAGAACCTTCTCCTTCACATCGAAGCATCAAATGAGTTAGGAAGGTCAAGTTTTCCTGCTTTCACCTGAAAAGAGGAAAAACCGAGCCCCTTAGGGAGGGCCGTCTCATAGACCCAGGAGTCCTGACTCTACTTTTCCTAGACTATATTTATATATTAAAATTTATACTGTTGTTCCATTTCTGGATGGTCAGCAGAAAAAGCATGGAGGCCTTCTGGGGAGTTGTCTCAGAACTGATGTCTGTCCCTCTGGGAATGAGTATGATGGGGTCCAAAGTGTTTTCTGGTTTTCTCTGCTCACCCCCCAGTTCTGGGGTTGGTCCTGATCCTGTAGTCATCCCTTGTCAGTGATGCACCCTCCCTCATGATCAGAGAAGAGCCGCTCAACCTCCCCACCACTCTATCTCTTTTAGGAAGTTCCCGAAGGCTGTGAGCAAGTGCTGGCAGGAAGACACCTCATGCAGTGTCTCCCAAGCCCGCAGGATGTGAAAATGGCCCTGGACATATATAAACTGTCATTGGAGATTGAACAACTGGAACAAGAGAGACACATGCAGAGAAACACTCGGGAGCATCAGTATGATTTTTCCTAAAAGAGTGAGGATAAGGTGCCTTGTTGCCTTCGATTCAATACAGATAACTTCAGTTCAGCAACTCTACTGTCCCTTTGGCACCATCATTTATAGTAATACATATCTGAGTAGGAGAAATGGCTAATGTTTGGTGCTTTTGAGATTGTGAAATTATTGATCATCTGCCGTCTTGTGGCTCATGTATTTTCTTTTCTGAATGCAAATTGTAAATTTTTTCAATTAAAAATTTGCATATCAAAAGCTTTTTTGTCTTCATGGTCATTCAGGACTCCATGAAATGAGGGTCATAAACAAACCTATTACTTATAGTTAATACTTTTATGTCATTGTGTAGGTCTTGGAAATATGTACTTGCATTCTTACCAACGTCGTTTCCTGGAATGCCTTTACTTCACAACTACACGTGTCCAAATCACCCACGTCCTTCAGTACCCTGATTAGATGTCAACACTCCCCAAAGCCTTGTCCATTCTCCCCACTTTGAATGGAATCATGCTCTTCTGAGCTCCATGCATGTTGACTCATCCTTGCTAATGCCACATCTCAAGTTTTGCCTCACACAAAGGGCATTTATGTTTGTGTCTGACCCCCTCATCCCAACCTCAGAAAATGAACTCTGAAAGACTGATGAATGTTATCAAAGAAAAAATTGCAGCAGACAATGTTCAAAAGGCAAGGATGACTTTATTCAAAAGGATTATGGTAAAGAGCTGGAGTCTGGGAGGGTGAGAGGCACAGACTATTGGAGGAAAGATCATTGTAGTAGGGAGAGGGGAGATTATTACAATGGAGAGAGAGTAGAACTAAATCTGAGCTCTAACTAATTCTGAGTCCAGTTCAAACTGTTACAGTTCTGAAAAAACTGCAAGGTTTTTTGTTTTAATAATATTTTGTTGTGTTTTCGGTGAAGGATTACACAGCTGTTTAGATTCCCATTCAACAATTTCTACACAAATTGTTCATTGACATCAGTTAAATTCTTTGCAATGCGTGAACATTCTCATTATCTCCGTTCTTGTTGTTCTGTTTGGAAGGTTTTTAAAGGCTGAGGTGGGCTAGTGGAAAAATACTGAAGAAAGAAGTTAAGGGGGGTTGACCACTGGAATGGGCAAGTGATTTACTGAGTTTGCAAATAGAACAATTTGCCTCAGAATGCTTTCATTTTTCAGATTAGGTACCTGGTTTCTGGGAGGCTTAGAAAGAGGGAGAGGGAGACAGAAAGAAAAGACTGTCTAAAGTTTATTCAAGCAGAGGAGTTCATTAAGGCCTTCTTGGTCAGTTATTGGCAGTAAACTGTTTTCCAGAACAAAAAAGGGTGGCAGGATTTCTTTAACCATCGCTACTTCCAGGCTCATAGGTGTAGGGTACAGTTTAACTTTCTCAGTGTGAAACCCACCTATGAGCTACCTGAGACTTCCCTTCTATTTCGTGATGGTTATCCCTAATATCACCTTAAAACTACTTGAGCAATTATCCCACATCCAAGGGGAAAACCAATATAAATCACCTTTTTATCTCTGGATCTCTTTGGAAGCTTTTATTCCTTCCAGTCGTAACTTCCTCAAACTCTTCCTTCCTCTGAAACTCTTTACACTCATACCTCAGCTCCTCTGGCTGTCTCATCTCTCTATTACACACCGAACTCTATGAGGAATATGGTCTCTTTTGTTTAATTTCCTGAAACATTCTCTGAGAAGGCACAGTGTACAGCAGGCTTTTACTGAACATTAGGTGTAACAGAGGGACTCGAACTGTAGAGGAAACAACCTGGAAGGCTATCTATCCATGATCTTAAAAGCTATTTGCCTGCTCCTACTACTAGGAATTTCTTTTATTGTTGTTCCGCCTCCCCCTTGTGTACATAGTGCAAAGACTTGAACAAGGGAACGCTTTCTTTATATTTATGATTTATGGAGGTAAAATTCACATACCATAAAATTAACCATTTTAAAGTGAACAATTCAGCATTTAGTATATTTGCTGTGTTGTACGACCACCACCTGTATGTAGTTCAAAATTACCCATCAGCTCAAAACAAAACCCCTTATCCATTAAGCAGTTTCTCCCATCCCCCTCTTGCCCCAACCCCTTTCAACCATCAGTCTGAATTCTGTCTCCACATCTATTCTGGATATTTCATATAAATGCAGTCATGCAGTATGTGTCCTCTTGTGTCTGGTTTCTTTCACTCAGCATAACAGTTAGAGACTCACCCACATTGTAGCATGTACAGTAATTCATTCTTTTTTATGGTTGAATAAGATTGCATTATATGAATATACCACCGTTTGTTTATCCATTCATTCACTGATGGACATTTGAGCTGTTTCCGGCTTTTGGCTATTATAAATAATGCTACCATGAACATGCATGGACATGTACTTGTTTAGTACCTGTTTTCAATTCTTTTTCGAATATACCTAGGAGTGGCGACGCATCTGGCACAGAGATAACCTGCTCACTAATGCACAAGCTGTATTGATTTTCTTCCATCCCATTTTTCACATCTCAATTGTTTTTTTCTCTTTTCATGGTACTTTAGATGAAGGTTTACAGAGCAAATTAGTTTCTCATTAAACAATTAACGTACATATTGTTTTGTGACATTGGTTGTCAATCCCACAACATGTCAACAGACTCCCCTTCTCGACCTTGGGTTCAACGTTACCAGCTTTCCTGTTCCCTCCTGCCTTCTCATCCTTGCCCTTGAGCTGGTGTGCCCATTTAGTATCATTTTGTTTTATGGGCCTATCTAATCTTTGGCTGAAGGGTGAACCTCAAGAGTGACTTCAGTACTGAGCTAAAAGGGTCCCCGGGGACCATATTCTCAGGGTTTTTCCAGTCTCTGTTAGATCAGTAAATCGGGTCTTTTTTTGTGAGTTAGAATTTTGTTCTACATTTTTCTGTCTCTCTGAGACTGTCCATTATGATCCCTGTCAGAGTAGTCAGTGGTGGTAGTCAGGCACCATCTAGTTGTGCTGGACTCAATCTGGTAAAGGCTGTAGTAGTTGTGGTTCATTTGCCCTTTGGACTAATCTTTCCCTTGTGTCTTTGGTTTTTTTATTCTCCTTTGCTCCAAATGGGGGGGACCAGTAGAGTATCTTAGATGGCCGCTCACAAGCTTTTAAGATCCCAGACATTACTCACCAAAGTAGGATGTAGAACAATTTCTTTATAAAATATGTTATGCCGATTGAGCTAGATGTCCCCAGAGAACATGGTCCCCAGGCTTCATCCCAGTAATTTGGTTCATCAGGGAGTTTGGATGTGTCTGTGAAGTTTCCATGACCTTGCCTTGGTCAAATTGTGCTGACTTTCCCAGTATTGTGTACTGTTTGACCCTTCACCAAAGTTAGCACTTATCTATCATCTAGTGTTTTTCCCTTCCCATCCCTCCCCTCAGTAGTAACCATCAAAACCTGTTTCTTTCTGTGTGTAAACCTTTTCATGAGTTTTTGTAATGGTGGTCTCATATAAGTATTTGTCCTTTTTTGACTGACTTATTTCACTCAGCATAATGTCCTGCAGATTCATCCATGTTCTGAGATGTTTTGCAGATTCATCACTGTTCTTTATTGTTGCATAGTACTCCATCGTGTGTATGTACCATAGTTTGTTTATCCATTCATCTGTTGATGGCCACTTAGGTTGTTTCCATCTTTTTCGCTATTGTGAATAATGCTGAATGAACATAGGTGTGCATATGTCTATTTGAGTGATGACTCTTATTTCTCTAGGATATATTCCTAGGAGTGGGATTGCTGGATCGTATGGTATTTCTATTTCTAGCTTTTTAAGGAAGTGCCATATCGTTTTCCAAAATGGTTGTACCATTTTACATTCCCACCAGTAGTGCATAAGAGTTCCAATCTCCCGGCAGCCTCTCCAACGTTTGTTATTTTCTGTTTTTTTTATTTGTGCAAGTAAAGTCAGGGTGAGATGGTATTTCACCGTAGTTTTGACTTGCCTTTCTCTAATGGCTGGTGATCTCAAGCATTCCCTCATGTGTCTGTTAGCTGCCTGAATGTCTTCTTTGGTGAAGTGTCTGTTCATATCCTTTCCCCTTTTTTAAATTGGATTACTTATCTTTTTATTATAGAGATGTTGGATTTTCCTATAGATTTTAGAGATTAGACCTTGTTGGATTTGTCATAGCCAAATTTTTTTTCCCAGTCTGTAGGTTCTCTTTTGACTTTTTTGGTGAAGTCTTTTGATGAGCATAAGTGTTTAATTTTTAGAAGATGCCAGTTATCTAGCTTATCTTCTGGTGTTTGTGTATTGTTATGGTTTGTATGCTCTTTATGCTGTGTATTAGGGTCTCTAGCATTGACCCTATTTTTTCTTCTACGATCTTTATAGTTTTTGGTTTTATATTTAGGTCTTTGATCCATTTTGTATTAGCTTTTGTGTATGGTGTGAGGTATGGGTCCTATTTTATTTTTTTATAGACGGACATCCAGTTTTGCCAGCACCATTAGTTAAAAAGACTGGTTTTTCTGCATTTGATGGACTTTGGGCCTTTGTTGAAGATCAGCTGAACATAGGTGGATGGATTTACATCTGGGTTCTAAATTCTGTTCCGTTGGTCAATTGTCTGTCGTTGTACCAATACCAGGCTGTTTTGACTACCTTAGCTGTGTAGTAGTTTCTGAGGTCAGGTAGTGAAGGTCCTCCTACTTCATTCTATTTCTTCAATAGTACTTTACTTATCCAAGGCCTCTTTCCTTTCCATGTAAAGTTAATGATTAGTTTTTCCATCTCTTTGAAGAATGCTGTTGGTATTTGGATTGAGATTGCATTGTATTTGTAGATTGTTTTCGGTGGAATTGACGTTTTCACAATGTTGAGCCTACTTATCCATGAGCATGGTATGTTTTTCCATTTATGTAGTTCTTTTTTGATTTCTTGCAGTAGTGTTTTGTAGTTTTCTTTGTATAGGTCTTTTACAACCCTGGTTAGATTTATTCCTAAGTATTTTATTTTTTTAGGGGTATTGTAAA